GCATTTCATGACCCTGATCCATTTCCTTAAACTGGCATCATGAGGTTAGATTAAAATAATAATAATGATGGAATCACACTTGCAGACTGTGGATCAACAAGCTTTAAACAGGGTGTGAATATTTAATATTCACACCCTGTTTAAAGCTCTAGGCGCCCCGTTCAAGATGCTAAATAGTGAAATTTTATAAATTGTTTAAGACTTAAGACCTCCATAAACCCTGCCCTGTTCAGCAGAACATGCCTGTTTAGGCTAAATAAATGAAGGATGTCTTCCTTTCCCCCCTGGGGAATGTACACCTCAGTATTCCCCAGACAGTGGAGTCCAGGACTCCCCTTCTTCTGTCAGCATACTTATGGCATAAATACTCTTTTGAAAAAAGCATTAATGCTAATAAAGTTGGGATAGAAAGAGGTTATTCTTTTGAAAAATACACCTTTATAAAGAATTAGATTGTTTATATGTAGTTGTAATGCAAAGTTACCGTTAAAGTGCCCGCCCACTTAGCACTACTTTGTTCATATCTTACCTTGTGGCCTTTTAATTTGGTGGTTTTTGATAAATCTTAATATCGCTGGTTAGAGATTCATCCATAGCACTATCCAGCATTTTAACGCTATCCACTTGATAAATCTCTATATCGCTGGATAGAAATTCATCCACAGCACTATCCAGCGTTTGAACGCTATCCACTTGATAAATCTCTATATCGCTGGTTAGAAATTCATCCATAGCACTATCCAACGTTTGAACGCTATTCACTTGATAAATCTCTATATCGCTGGATAGAAATTCATCCATAGCACTATCCAGTGTTTCAACGCTATCCACTTGATAAATCTCTATAGCACTATCCAGTGTTTGAACGCTACCCACTTGATAAATCTCTATATCGCTGGATAGAAATTCATCCATAGCACTATCCAGTGTTTGAACGCTATCCACTTGATAAATCTCTATAGCACTATCCAGTGTTTGAACGCTACCCACTTGATAAATCTCTATATCGCTGGATAGAAATTCATCCATAGCACTATCCAGTGTTTGAACGCTATCCACTTGATAAATCTCTATAGCACTATCCAGTGTTTGAACGCTACCCACTTGATAAATCTCTATATCGCTGGATAGAAATTCATCCATAGCACCATCCAGTGTTTGAACAACCAGGGCCAGGATTATAATATTATTTTAAACCTAGTTTGGTTCAGAATTTCCTTTCTTTTTTAGCCCATATTAATCATACAGATGCACAGTGTGTACTGGTGACAATGAAATTCTGGTTTACCCTGAGAACAGATTTTACCTACAACATTTTCTAATGTTGGTTTACCCGTATTTTGACTCAAATAAAAAATATAATGCAGTTGTTAAGATTCAGAAGGAGAAAAATCAGACTGGACCAATCCCAATAATAATAATTTGGTTAGGCTCAACAACTAATTCTTAGTTGTTGCGAATTGCAAAAAAATAATGATAAATCCACAAAATTATTATATAATTAATTAAACTCCCACAAAAAGAAAGTGTCAAATGGTACATGTAGTTTACAACATTGCACCATTATTTACAATGCGTACTTTTTCTTTCTCTGTTCCTGTTTTAGTGTTCATGTCTGCAGTGTTGAAGGATTTTTAGGATTCCTGTGATGTCCAGGCTGATGGAGGTAAGCAAAATTTGTCATCTGTTAGCTAATAGTGTTAGTCAAGTGAAGGTTGATTTTTGTTGGTATCTTGCAAACAAGTTGTAAGTTTTGAGGTGTGAGAATTAGTTGTAGTTGTGGTTTTGAATGTTGGTGGAGGGAAGGAAGTCTGGTTGGGTCTGTGCTGCTAAAACCCTTCGATTCTGACCCTGTCTAAAGCAATGAATTGTACTTTTTTTTAAGATTGAATTCCCATAAACCTCTACCATGCAGAGCTGCACATACTGAGTGAGCCAAACATGGAAGTTTCCCAACCCCTACCCCCCCCCCCTCCCTGAGTGTGTGTGTCAATCTGTAAACTCCCAAGGGAACCATTTTAGATATATATTTAGGCGAAGAAACAATACAATTGTTAATAACTACATATCGTCAAGACATCAGGACTAATTTCAGTTGTGTACGTGATAGATCTACTGTTTACCCATTTTTCAGGGCAGTTTTTTAAAATATGCCCAAACGTACGTGTCACCTGTTAAAAGTTTTCATACTAAAGATCAATTTCACTACAATATTGTTCAAAAGCAATGCTAAATTCTCAGTTATTCTTACAGTGGATTAAATAAAGAGGGAATCCACCAGGAAATTGAGTAATTTTAATTTTTTGTGGACAAAAATTCTGTACTAGAATAATTTAAAGCATATTGCATTCTTTTTTACATTTTTCAAGGGTTAGAGATGTAATTAGTCATCTGTAATAACACCAAAGAAAATTTCTCATGGGAGCCCGAGAAAATGAATGTCAAATTTCACAAAATTACGTACATCTTACACATTAAATTTTTGAAAATTTTTCCTCTGTGTTTTCACAATTCTTGTGAAATTTGACATTCATTTTCCTGGACTCCCATGAGAAATTTTCTTTGTTGTTATAACAGATTACTACTTACATCTTTGGCCCTTGAAAAATGTGAAAAGAATACAATGTTCTTAAAATTATTTTGCAGGTACAAGTTTTTTCTCCACTGAGAATTAAAATTACTCAATTTCCTGGTGGATTCCTTCTTAAACATTCCTTTTGTATGTTACCAAGCACAAATTTTAAGACAGATAATACAACTATAAATGTATTCTGGGTATTTTTTCTGTCTTTTTGCGTTTTCTCCTTTTATTCAACAGGCATGATCTGTAACATGTAAAAGATGAAACGTGTTCTATGACGCCAAAAATTATTTTGAAGAAAACAACAGAATTACTAGTGTCACGATCTCAAAAGATTGTGTGCATTATTAGGAATTACAGAAAAATACATAGTTTTTTCAAAAATAGATTAATTTCGTCAAAGGGATAACATAGATGTAAGCAAAAAAAATGGGAAAGAAAAAATTTGAATAGTATTTCTTTATGAGCTTTAAATTCCAAATATCTGGTAAAAAGGTAACATCATCCGACTTATTAAAAATCTAATTAAATATAGATTTTACTAACAACATAATTTTTTTCGAGTTGTGATCTTGGTTCTACTTTACCTCTCCTCTCACAGGTCTTTAATTTTGTGTGTGTTTTTTTTAAACTGGCTACATACCATTGGGAGCAATGCTGTGGTGGACTAGTATCCCATCAAGGGTGGGTTGGGGGGAGTCGGGCTGGGAATAGGTCAATGGTAATTCATGGTACTAAACCAAGATAAGCTCTTGCTGTGTGGGCTCCAATACTTTGTTTCAACCCTTTAAGCACCAGTATCCGCATACAAATTCTCCAGACTGATCTCAATGCATTCCTTAACCCTTTAAGCCCTAAGAGTGATCAGCATCAAATTTCTCCTTGTAGTATCACTTCTTCATAAAACACAGTGGTCATGAGAATTGAGGACCTGATCACACAACATGAATCTAATTGATACTTCAACAAATTCTCCCCACTACTTCTATTGAAAACAAATAGGGAAAATAAATGAGAATTCGAATTTTGATATTAGGGTTTAAAGGGTTAAGTAATGATCCGGGTAAGGTGGACAGCAATTTCTTTTGTTATGCGGCAACAGTGCTTTCCCCACATAGGAATGTTCTCATTTTTACACAGAGAATGCATAAACCTACATGAAGGCCGTTTACGCAATAAAGTGCATTTACACTCCACTTTGAAAGGGTGTTTTTTTGTGTTAAAAGATTTTGACCAATCACAAGAGTCGAAAACAACAGCCAAGAAAAGTTCACAGTTTTCCATGTTCCCCACATAGGATTTCTTTGTTATTCAAACTGAGACCAGATTTTGTTATATGGAAGATGGTTGGAAAGTAAGGATGAATATATGTACTGCTTTATGAAGTTTTGTTAACTTTTGCTGTTTAAGCCAATCAGAAGTAAGTACAGACAATAGAAAAGTTAGCACCTTTTTTGCATTCCAACTAGCCTGAATTTCATCCGATTACTTCGAGTCGTTATTACTCCCTCAGTAACGACGTTGTTGAGAGGAGAAAACGACTCAAAGCAATCGGATGAATTTCAGGCTACATTCCAACATGTTCGTTGCCGTTCAGTGCTATCGTTCTTATCTGGACCGTTTCTTAAAAGAATTACATGTAGTTCAGAGAATCTGATTAAGGATCAAAGCATTTTCACTAAGTGAACATTTTATTAATTTCATATCATTAAATTGGCAGTGTACATACATGTATTGTAGTCCACACCTCTTAGTGTGGTACTGGTGTACTGTGCTGTCGAGACACTCTTAGTAACCTGCATCATCTTTGACCTTTCACCCTGCAAGTTGTCTCTGTCCCCTTCCCTTTCAAGCACATGAATAAATCATACTGGGCCAGTCCGCGTGAAGTGTTGCAGTACATAATTAATTAATACAGTCTATCATTTAAGAATAAAGGGGGAGGGTAGGGGAGTGGAGGCTTAAAAGAGAGCGGGGGCTCAATACCTTTCTTCCCCTAAAAAGGGGCGTGGGGGCTTATTCGGTATGGGGCGGGGGGTTAATAGAGGGTTTATGGTATAGAGTTGTACATATACATGAGACACCACAGGTCACCCAAACTCAAAAAATGTCCTGCATGTTTTTCTAGTCAATTTTTTCAAGTGCAGTCGCTGGGAGAAAAGGAGTGGAAGACAATGCTCAATTAAAGTTTGCTAGAACTTACTATTAAAAATGCTTTTTAATAACCTGATATAAGGCTCTATTTTCGTTTCTCTTTGTAAATAACATTCCGGTGGGCAAGGCGAAACGAAAAGAGAAATTTTAGTGGGACTACGTAAGAGAGAATGTATAAGAACTGCTAAAATTTAACCTGATCTCAGGTTAACTTTTTAACTAACCCTTTAATAAATTTATACCACTCTTTTTTTAGGAATTGCCATCCTCTCCTAGCACAGCCTCTACATCACAGGAAGACCATGAAAGCATTTCAGAATCCACTTCCTCCAGCAAATTGAGGGTAACTCTGTTAAGCAGTGAATGGAAATCAACAAAAGGAGGCTTGTCAACTATCAACCGAGAGCTGGCCATTCAGTTGGCTAAACATCCCCGCGTGGAGGTCAGTGTTTATCTCCCTCAGTGCAGCGAGGAAGATAAACGAGTTGCTGCAAGTCACAATGTCCATCTTATTGAAGCAGAAGAAATGCCAGGTTTAGAACCAAATTTCTGGTTATCTTGTCTGCCGGAAGACCATTCTGTGGACTGTGTGATAGGACATGGAGCCGTTCTTGGTCGGCAAGTGCAGATCATAAAACGACATCATCATTGCAAGTGGATTCAGGTCGTTCATACAGCTCCTGAAGAGCTGGGTATGTACAAGTCCTACGCAGATGCTATTTCAAGAGGCGAGAAAAAGCACCAGGCTGAGGTAAAACTCTGTGAAAAAGCTGATCAAGTTGTAGCAGTTGGTCCTAAGCTGGCTGAAGCTTTCTCAGGTTATCTCCGTGTCTGTGGAAAGGATCAAGATGTTCTCAATCTTACCCCAGGTATCTTCTCAGAATTTTCTGAAGTAAAGCAAGCCACTGAAGAGAGAAAAACATTCAGTGTTTTAGTGTTTGGACGTGGTGACAATGAAGACTTTCAGCTGAAAGGATATGACATTGCTGCTCGCGCTATTGCCGAGTTGAAAGACGAGCCACAGCCCTATAAGCTGTTGTTTGTTGGAGCTCCAAGTGGAGAAGAGGAGAAAGTAAAAGATTTGTTACTTAAGCAAGGCGTTGATCGAAGTCAACTGACTGTGCGTTGTTTCAATGAAAGCANTGTCTGCCGGAAGACCATTCTGTGGACTGTGTGATAGGACATGGAGCCGTTCTTGGTCGGCAAGTGCAGATCATAAAACGACATCATCATTGCAAGTGGATTCAGGTCGTTCATACAGCTCCTGAAGAGCTGGGTATGTACAAGTCCTACGCAGATGCTATTTCAAGAGGCGAGAAAAAGCACCAGGCTGAGGTAAAACTCTGTGAAAAAGCTGATCAAGTTGTAGCAGTTGGTCCTAAGCTGGCTGAAGCTTTCTCAGGTTATCTCCGTGTCTGTGGAAAGGATCAAGATGTTCTCAATCTTACCCCAGGTATCTTCTCAGAATTTTCTGAAGTAAAGCAAGCCACTGAAGAGAGAAAAACATTCAGTGTTTTAGTGTTTGGACGTGGTGACAATGAAGACTTTCAGCTGAAAGGATATGACATTGCTGCTCGCGCTATTGCCGAGTTGAAAGACGAGCCACAGCCCTATAAGCTGTTGTTTGTTGGAGCTCCAAGTGGAGAAGAGGAGAAAGTAAAAGATTTGTTACTTAAGCAAGGCGTTGATCGAAGTCAACTGACTGTGCGTTGTTTCAATGAAAGCAGAGAGCAGTTAGCCCGTTTGTTTTGTGAAGTAGATCTTGTTATAATGCCATCACGAACTGAGGGCTTTGGTCTAGCCGCCCTTGAGGCTTTATCAGCTGGTCTTCCTGTGCTGGTCAGTGGGAACTCTGGTCTTGGCGAGGCCTTAAGGGAAGTTCTAATTGGTTCAAATTGTGTGGTGGAATCAGAAGATCCTAAAGATTGGGCCAATGCAATCAAAGCTGTTCGGAAGAAAAAAAGGGAGCTGCGACTGAGAGAGGCCAAGCTTCTTCAAGGAGAGTATGCCAAGATGTTCAGCTGGCAGGATCACTGTAACAAACTTGTGGAACGAATGCTTGCCATTTCTCAAGGTAACAGGTTTATGTTGTTAATTATTGTGTACTGCTGGCATTAGGAAATGTTCACGCAATTACAATGACAACTGTAGTGAGAACCTCACCTCAACAAATTTTTCCATCTCTATTAATAACTGCACCAGAGAAGGCCGTCTACATTTGACAAATTGAGAGAGTTTTTAAATATTGCGGGACGTTTTAAAGAACGTGTACAATTACTTTTTTCGTGACGTCTTATTCCCAACTCTGAGGCTCAGAAGTAAATAATTGTATCGCTACTCTTTTTGCAGGTTTTAATGCAGACAAGCAGAATTCATCTAAGAAAGTGGCTGTGATCTGTCAAGATGAAAACCCTTCTCCTTCTGAAAAACGTCTTCATAAAGGTATAGTTGAATCTTTTTATTATGATTATGATTATGATTATGATTATTATTTATTATATAATGCTTTATTACAGCACAGAAACGTATACATACTACTGAAAAAACTGTACTGATTACGTATACAACAACGGATAAAACTGACAGTTACATGGAATATCTGAGGTTTACTTTATACCTGAATTCGCTTTTTGCCACTTAGATAGCTTTGTTTTGGTCAATAAAAAAGGAAAAGAGGAAAGGGTGGAGGGTTTAACTTTACAGATGAGCTAACAGAGCGATTAGCTTAGATTGGCTAACAGAACGATTTGCTAGAGGGTAGCAGGTGCAAGCCAACAAATTAAAGTAAGGAAAAGTTTCCATTTGTTTGAAAAGGCGGTCGAAGAATTACAACGAAGTGCTTCTTGTCTTTCTACCTCAATAACGGAATTCAGCTTACCCTTAAAGAGAGACATGCAAGGAGATGCACCAGCTAATTTTCTCCATTAGATATGATATCTCCCAAGAAGAAGAACGAGGTCGATGGCGGTAGAGGCTGCAACTGTAGAGAGCCCCGTGAGATGCAGATCGGTTAAAACAAAATTACTCTTGAGGCCCTTTTGGATTAAAAATTGTTTAACATCTTAGAAACATGAACAATATGTCCACAAGAGCAATTCATTGTTTTTTATGTAGAAAGGTCTGGGAGATGTACTTTAGTTTGGGCATAATGATTATTCCTTGCGGGGACGGTAAATAAATAAGAAATATTCGAAGCATTGAACACTGACTTAAAACTGACTTACAAGGTCAAAACGTTTTCACGCTGGTTGCAGATTAACAATGTGAGATGCCGACAAATAATGGTCGTTTCAGGTTTATTTTTCTCGTGCCAAATAGCGTAATGGACTACAGCGAAAGGAAATTGCGTTTTAACATATACACTGTACGCTTCGTCTTTTTAGTATGGGTTTTTCTAAGTGAAATTTTCACCTTGGAACTTCAACATGCTGGCCATTGCCGCGGTGTATAGATTATCATCTAATAATTGATCGCCCCAGTACGGTAATCAGGATTCCAGAATCCGGGATCTCGTGGAATCTGGAATCTAGGAAACTTTTTCTTTTGGAATCCGGGATCCAACTCAAGGAATCTGGAATCTCGCTTATGATTGTATTACGAAATCCAAGTTCCACTAACAAGGAATCCGGAGTCCAGTACCTGAAATCCAGAATCTAATTAAGAAATGGTAAACGTGCAGCGTGCAACCACGGAGTTTTATACAATGATGTGAATGCTACGCGCGCTTTGATTGGTCGTTGCCCATGATCTATTAGAGTACAGATACATGGATGACGTCACGGGAAACTTGTTTTCTTTGTTTTGTTCAACGTGGCACGCGGTTTTGAAAATGTTTGTGAGATTATTTCGGATTGAGGCAAGTGAAAGCTTCGGAAAAAGTTTAGCAGGAGCTATTTACAAAGAAGAAAAATGGAGAAACGGAGACCAAAAAAGCTATTGACTACTTGACAATGCCTAAACTACAAGAAATCTTCACAACAGTTGCCATCGTGTGTCTTCGCTACGAGAGACTCGCTGTTTTGCAAAATGTTTTCGCTATTATTCTTCTTTGAGCAAGAAAAGACGGTGAAAAACTTTTCGAAGAAACTGTACACAAGTAAGATAAAGAAGAAGCTAAGATGAAAAGTTGGGTTTGGGAATTAAAAAATGCCTAAACTAGCACAAATCCTCAAAAGGTCAAGCGGTTCGAGGCAGGTATGTGTATCGGTCTTTTTCTTTTCTGATCATTGTATAAAACAAATAGATTCCATGTTGCCGTGGGTCTGTTCAGTAATAGATCACAGAGGACGTCAAAATGTGGTAAAAGCAACAGTGACACACTCGCCTGCGGCTCGTGTGCCACTTCTTTGTTTTTACGACATTTTGACGTCATCTGTGATCTATTAGTGAACAGACGCACGGCAACATGGAATATATTTGTTAAATGGATGCACGCGGGAGGTTGCTAAGCACGAAAAGACTCTAGCTTCTTGGGTGCTTAGCAAACCTCCCAAGTGCATCCATAACTCAATGGTTGCACAGCTGCAACGTTTAGCATTTCTTTTATAACATAATCAAAAGAGAAAAACATTATTTTCCATTTGCCTTCGGTTGAGTCATCGGTACGAGTTCATGTATGCTGCCATCTGCACGCGCGTAAACAAATCATGTTCTATGTTTTTCAACAACTTGCCTTCGAGTTTTTCTTTCGCTGAATGAACCGTTCTCCGTCTTCAGGTAAATTGAAAAACGTTTTTCGTTGTTATTCTGAATGGCATCTGTCTACTTGCTCTTAATATTGAGGGAAAACTATCGCTGCAACTATAAACACCAACTAAAAAGACTCTAAAAAATAAGCTAAAACTAAATAAATGAAATAATTATCAAGCTTATTTATGTGACAATTTTTGAAATAAACGTAAAGTAGAAATGAGAAAATTTGACTGTAATTCCTTTAGAATAACAGATAACACTAATTTTAAAAAGAAATTAACTAGCTTTGTATCGAAATCTGTCGGGGGAAATCAAGCTGTGAAAGTCAAAGTTACAACTGAGATTCGCCGACACACAGCCGGCGCTGAAGCTGTTGTTTTTCGACCGTTCTCTGAACGACTGTTATGAATGAACACTGAGGAACAAAATAATACACACCGAAGTTATTTTTTGAAAAATTTATTTGAAAACCCAAATGTTTCTGTGCTCAAATTAAATTCGCTTATTCTAGCGTAATGTGCCCGTTTAAACTCAACTAAAATTTTTCATCGATGCGATGAAAACTTTACAACAAAGCTGTCTCGAATTTGAGCGTGTTTCCTAAAATATTTGCTTGAATTTAGCATCAGCTTGACCAAAGAGTCAATAACACAGTGCTAATTGATAAATTTGCATTTCAAACAGACTTTCTCTTCCATAAAAAAACACACAAAATGTACCTTAAATCTTTGCTCGCTCGATTTTCCTTCAGCCGATTCCAGCCGGAAGGAAAACAGTGATTAATTCATCAAGGGCAAATTTGTCGCTTGATCTTTTGTCTTTTTTCCTTTAAAACGACAGCTTAGTATTTTCTTCAACTTCCACTTTTCATCTGTGCATTTCATCGGTGTATTTTACCGTCAGGAGGGGAGATTTGTTGAATTTGCCTAAATTTTATCGCGCTAGTTCAGTTTCTTGGCGTTCACGGGCAAATAATAGTGGCTAACTGACCAATCAGAGCGCGCGATTTACTTTTGTTATGTTATAAGACTGTTTTGGCGGCGCAATTGACCTGCTCTGTGTTTCTGTTTGATTACCGTAAATTCTCTGTTAAGCCCCCCTCTCATATGAGCCCCCTGCCCCTAGTAACTCCACCCCCCTTTTCAGGGGAAAAAAGTTAATAAGCCCCCCTCCCTTCCCCTCCCCTAATTATTCTTTACTAATAAAGGACAGACTTTATTAATCAATCACGAGTGTAAAACTTCGTATGGACTGATAGCCCCGGTAGTCTTCTAAGCCTGCGAGAAACCCCTTTCTGAAAAACGTCTTCAGGGAGGTACATGTGAATTCCCTATTCGACCAAAAAGAAACATACAAACACAAGTTTTGTAGGGAATAAGCTGTGGGTGTGTATGGGAAAAAATAATTGGATCATCACTAGTGTTGTTTAATTTCAGGCTCAAAAAAGTGGAAAAGGCCTTTGTCTCCAAGTAGCACTCCAGTATCAAAAGTCCCAAAATGTTTGGGAGATGAAGGTAAAGTTTGTTTATGCATGATAAAGTTTATAACCGTCTCACTACTGAAAGCAACGTAGGAAGTAAAAAGATCTGCATGGACAAACTTGTGTTCTTAAAACGTTTTGTGCCCCCTGCCACAGCCCTCCCCCCTCCTGCTTTATAGATGGATACTCAACCTGCTGGAGTCACTCATCCGTTCAGTAGCCAAACTTAAACTTCTCAAGTTTGACGCACGCTCTCTCTATTTCGAGCGTGCTTTATATTTCGCAAAGTTGGACCTGGTGAGCACAGAAGTTTTTGTTCGCGTTTTGGCACAGTTTGTCAAACTGTACGCGACTTCTGTTCTTGTCACTTCCTTGCGAGATGGTTTATGGGGAAGGGTTTAGTTTAGTGCCTAATGATTTATTTGTGCGAAGGTAGTGAGGCAAAACACAATTCTCTTTTCAACTGATTTTACATGGTAAATAGGCCTCAGGAATTCAGAAGCTGAAGTATATTAACTCTTTCAACCCTAGAGCGAGTTATGGCGTGATAATTTGTCTTTCTAAGTTTTGCATCTGTGAACGAAATCCTATGGTGTTATCAATTAAATGAATCCTCGTTGGTAGAACTTTTACTCTGTGCTATTTATTTTTTGGGATTTCACTAAAAAAAGAAATCTGGAATCTTTGTGAGTTTTCCCTTTTCCACTCGTAGGAGTGAAATGCGGTTAACTCCGATCTGTCGATCCTCTTTTATGTAAATGTAGGAGTGGCTGAAAATTGATTCCTCAAAAAATAATGTAGTTAGTTTTTCAGAAGTGCTGCGTGCGGGAGTGAAATACACAAAAAATGGTTTTATCAACTGAATCGACACTGTTAAATTGGACACCTTGAAGAGGTTTTAAAGCATACGTTCTTAGAGCTACCCCCTTGCTGGGTGTTTTCGTTGTTGACATTTCCTTTTAAGGCCTATCTGTAATAAAATATAGTCGAACCTCCATTTGCGACCACCTATCCAACACACCAAACGTTACCCAATCGAAGCCTTACAGTTGGAACGACCACCTCCTGTAAACAACCGCGACCACTGACGGTTTTATATATATATATTTTACCTCTCGTAACTTGACGCATACACTATGTATATACCATAATGAAGATTTTTACCGACAACATAAAACTACTCATCTCGTGACAAAGAAAAAAGTTGCATGCAAAACAGTATCTTCTATAACGTAGGTGAGTCCGGACTTTTTTCTGGAAAGAGCACCCCTTGTTGTTCGATTGTTGTAAGTGACCACGTCCCGTAAGCGACCTTTAACAATTAACATTTTAGGTCAGTAGTCGCTTATAGGAGGTTTGATTTTATTTGATTTATGTACAACTGAACATCCAGGAAGAAAAAATATAAACACTGATGTCGGTGAAGATTCCAAAGTAGTGTATTATTTCAACTCTCTGTAAGTACTCAATGTAAAGAGAGTTTACAGTCATTGTATGGAACAAAGGGAGGACAACATTTTACAAATACCCCGTTCGTAGCGTCAAATGCTCTTGTTTGTGGTTACTGACAGATATTTCCGATCTCCTTGTTTCCAACAGGTGGGGACAGCTTGGTTCTTGGGAATTTGCTAAAAATGGAGTACAAAAGGCGCTCGCAGCTAAGACCACTTCTTTGGGATAGCACCATCCAGTTGCCTATAGAACAAGTCTACACAAGACTGAAAATCGTTTCAAGAGGAAAATCGGCCATCCAAATAAAAGACGACGAGGTAAATGTGTTCGACATTTTCAAAGTTCCTGGCATTGGTGAGGATGTTATGACGATAGTAGAGGGAAGTCCAGGAATTGGTAAAACTACGTTTTGCCTAAAACTTGCTTATGACTGGGCTCATGGAAATATTCCATTTGAATTCGTGTTTCTTCTTAAATGTCGTGACATTGATGGAGATATAATGGAAGCTATCAGTGAACAACTTCTGCCCAGAGATATGGAGAAGTCTGTAGAGAAGTTGTTGCACTTGATGAAGGACATTCGTAACCAGGAGAAACTGATGTTAATCATTTTGGATGGATTGGATGAGCTACCTGAAAAATCACGGCACCATGTAGATGAGCTGCTTCAAAGAAGAATTTTAGCCTTTTGCTATGTCTTGGCTACGACACGACAAGAAAGAGGAATCGAAGTTCGGAAAAGCGCTGTCTTTGACATTCACTTGGAAATCAAAGGGTACACGGAAAGTGACTCTATTGCTTACATTAGAAGACACTTTGAAACCATTGATCAGTCACCAAAGGGTGAGAAGCTCATTGAGGAAATGCAACAGAACACCTTTTTACATGCACTTCGAAATAACCCACTAAATTTACTTCTCCTTTGTGTTGTTTATGAGGACTACGAGGGAAAATTGCCGACTTCCCGGACGGAACTTTACCAAGTCATTGTGCAATGCCTTTTGAAACGATACTGCGCCAAACGCAACCAACCGGCCCTTAGGAATGACATCGCCTTAGAGAGAAAATTTGAAAAGGAAATTCTTGCCCTTGGAGAGCTGGCTTGGTTATGCCTGCTGAGTGATCGTTATGGTTTCCGCGAATCTGAATTGGATGAGTTTGAAGGTAGATACCCGGGATTGGTAGCACGTGAGCTAGGCCTTCTTTACAAGGAAGAAAGTTTAAAGAGATTAAAGCCTGAACATGAGTACTGCTTCCTTCACAAGACCTTCCATCTCATGCACCGACGGCGCATATAGCGTCTCTTCAATCATTTACTTGTCAAATTACATAAACTAGTGAAAGAGTAACGGCTGAACCATTGCTTTATAGGTGTTCACAAATAAAAACAAAGACCCTACGACCCCGAGAAAGCATCTATCCTATTCACCCAGATTGCCCAAGAGTTAAAGAAAAATGACTGGGACTGGAACGAGGATTGCGATGACAAGAAAGCTACTTTCTTTATTGAAAGCTTCAATGAAAGTGGACATCCTGAACAAATGGCAGCTACTCTATGTAAAATTATACCTTTTCCAAAGGTCATAACCCTTGAGTCAGATGACGATTACAATGCTTTTTTTGTTAAGGTTTTAATGGCTTGTAAGAGCTTTTCAAATTTACAGACACCTGCGGAACTCTATGCTGATATAGGCTGGTTCGTTGACCTAGAAGTTAGTGACGTAGTAGATTATATAGAATCTTGCCCGCAGCTGAAAATCGCAAGTTTCGCTCTCGGGAACGAATTGCTATCATCCTCCGTTGCAGATCGTCTTTGCAAGTGGTTGTCTGCGAGCAAGAGTTTATCAGAGTTAACTCTTAAATTCCGTGATACAACCCCTGATGAGTGTGACCTGCTGTTTCAAATTTGCCATGTGTTGGCTTCATGTCCAACCCTGACAAAAGTAAAGTTTTCCTTGCCTGGATATACTTATAGCGAGGGTTTTTTCAATGCACTTGAAACTGGATTGGCACCGCTGACGTCTGTTATTCTCGAGCTACTTGGCTCATTGAAGTACACTGCGACACGAGCCTTACAAAATTTTTTGTCAAATAAATCCCTGAAGTCTTTTTCTCTTTCTGTTGTTGAAGTGGATGTGCAGGATTTGCTAGTCGCTGCTGTCAGTGAAGCACTTGCAAGACATAAAGTTTTAAAATCTCTTAATCTACATTTTGGTGGACCGCTGAGTTCCTCCAGTGCCAATTTCCTGGAAAAAGGTCTGATGGAAAATAGTTCTTTGAATTATTTAAGACTATGTGTCCACGGTGAGCTCCCTGGTAACTGGCATTCTGTTATGGAAAATCTTCGCTTAGCAAAGAATTCCTCACTTGTTTGTTTTATCTATCCAAACACCTGGAACAACATAGCAGATAATCTTTGTCATCCTGTTATGGTTAGAAAAGGACTGAATCTAAAGCAGCACTTTACTGTTAACATCTGGGGCGAGATGAGTTGTGAAGCAGCAGAAGCTCTTTGTGAAGCCTTGGCTCTTTCCTCCATTACTTTTCTCACATTAAACGTGCGCGGAAATTTATCAAGCAGAGTTGCTAACTCCATTGCAAGATGCCTGGAAGGAAACCAGACACTGTCAGTCCTGTCTAT